GTTACGTCTCTCTCTCTCTCTCTCTCTCTCTCTCTCTCAGTTGTCATTGCTTTTACTTTTACTGGAATTTCAGTTGGACATAAAAAAAATTATGTTCAACATGAACTGCATGTTTTCATCCCTCTGGAGGTAGACCTCCCGAGTCATGCCTTCTTTTGTGTTTTCTGTCTCTCTCATGCAATTTTTGTTGCTCTTCGCTTTTTCTGGAATTTCAATTGTGAATAGACAAATATGAATATTTTAACATAATGTGGGATTATGATTTCAGCATCTTTGGGGTTTTGGGTTCTATAATGAAGACTGGTTACTTGGTCTTTACCAATTCACAATTTCAAAGTTTTGAAAGGTACTTTTAGACAGCCTAGTGCTTTATTATGTAAAACCTAATGCCCACTCACCTCCATTTCAAATGAAGAGCCTATATGATGACTTGTTCAACTTGATGGATGTTGCTTGTAATAAAGATAAAATAGTAGTTAATGGTAAAATGAATAATAATGTTGTTTACATTTCGTACAAAAAGATCACAAACCCTTCTGGGTGTTAAATGTGAAATTTGACGGTTAGGGGTGCACCGTTGATGTTGCTCAAAGTTTGAGAAAGTTGTTCTTGGATTTTGTGTCGAGAAAGGACACACCCTAACCTAACTGTCTAATAGTACATCTGATGTCATAGATTTTTCTACATTGTATATAATCTCTTAAGTAGCCCTTGTTCTCATAGTTGAATTTCATGTCGGTTATTTTCTGATTGTTAGTTTCTTGTTAAATTTTTTTTTTTTGTTCGTCCCTACGTATCGTTTTTTGTCAAGTTTGGAACCTTTATGTCCTTTTTTTTTTTTCCCTCAATTTTCTATTTGTAGGAAATTGGATAGTAGAATGGATAATCTTGGTCCCACGAATCTGGTGAAATATTGAAAAGTTTTTTTTTTTTTAATTTTTTCTTGTAACCTTCAGGAGACTGGTGTCATTAGTTGTCCATTTCAGTTTAAATTATTAAAACTTTTTAGAAACTATCTCTAAAATTTTTTAAAAATTTGAAAATTTTTGAAAACTATCTTGAAGTTAAAATTTTTAAAAATTTAAAAAAAAAATAATTTTCAAGATAGTTTTTAGAGAGTTTTTACAAATTTTCAAGATAGTTTTTAATTTCAAGATAGGTTGTAAATTTTTTCAGAAACTATATCTAAAAACTATCTAAAAATTAAAAACTATATTTAAAAATTCTAAAAACTATCTTGAAATTATTAGAGAGAAAAACTATCTTTAAAAATTTTTAGAAATAGAAACTATCTTGAAATTTTTAGAGAGAGAAACTATCTCAAAAAATTTTTGGGAGAAAATCTCAAAATTTATGTTTAGGAGAGAGAAAATCTCAAATTTTAAACTTTAGTGACAGAAAGTATATTAAATTTTAGAGAGATTATATTTGAAGTTTTAGGAGAGACATTTTAAAATTTAAGAGAGTAATTATATCAAATTTTAGAAAGAGAAAATACATAAAATTCTTTAAAAAGAGAAACTATTGCAAAAGCCTAAGAGATAAATTATGTCAAATTTTAAATTTTAGTGAGAGAAAGTATCTTAAACTTTGAGATAAAAACTACTACATATTTTTAAGAGAAACTATTTAAAAATATTTAGAGAGCGGATCTATCTCAAAATTATTGAAGAGGAGAAGTATCTCAAGTTTTAAGTTTTAGAGAGAGTTTCTTAATTTTAGAAAGAGAAACTAAATTAAATTTTAAAGAGAGAAAACACCTAAAATTTTTAGAGAGAGAAATCATGTCAAAATTTTTAGATAAACAATTTCAAATTTTAAGTTTTGGGTAGAAAATATATTACATTTAGAGTGAGAAATCATATCGAATTTTAGGGAGAGAAACTATCTCAAATTTCTTAGACATTATACGAAATTTTGAGTTTTGGAGAGAGAGTTTATTAACCTTTTAGAGAGAGAAGTTGTATCAAGTTTTGTTACCAAATTATCGACACAGAAGTGATTGCAAGGAAATATGAATTTTGTATAGTTTTTCAAACAAGAGATTTGAAAAATCCGTAACAAAAATATTTGAAATTGAAAATTCATAGATTTTTTTTGTATTTCAAATATCTAAGATTCTTAATTTATCATATTTATTTCTCTTGCTTGAGTTGACCGAGTCGTTTCAAACCCAGCGGCACGTGCTTTTAAATACTGAATGTTTGTAAATTTGAAAAACATCTTATGTTGACTTGTTAATACATTGGCTTAGCTTGTTATTGGCTTGAATTGACCTGAGTTTGGTCTTATTTTATAGCTTAACTTCGGAATATGGTAGAAAAGCCATTTAACTTGCCTTTGACCAAAAACACGATTAATTGGGATTATATACAATAAGACCATTTACGTTTGGTATTGATTTAGGGAGATCAATGTGAAATCTGATAGCTGGTTGAGTCATAAAGTTTGGAAAAAAAATTTGAACTTCGAGTTTGGTTAATTAAATAAATACAACCACCCAATTTCATATCACTATCTCGTATAAAAAATAAATGGTCATTGTATTTTTTTTCCCTGATTATAAATGTTCATCCGTAAAAGAAAAAGTATGCATCTTATAATCCATATATACACATCGGTGTGCTCATAAGGATCACCACCATCCAATCAAAGGGTTGAATTATAGCAGATTCGCAGCTTACCATCCAAGCGATAATGTTGCTTGTTGCATCTCACCCTTTCTCCAGCATCAAAGAAATATGAGGATTCAAAGGAAATTGGGAGGCAGATGGTGAGGAAGGTTCATAGCCTCATACGTAATTTAAACAATGAAATAGATGTCGAAGGGGGTTTAATCTCATTTTTATAACTTTGAAAGGGTCAATGGGCTTTTCATGAACTAAAATGTTATTTAGGATTATGATTTTTGATAAAGGGTACACCCACCCTCTGCTCCACTTGCACCCGTCATATATTTGCAGTAGGTAGAGAAGCAAGGATGCCCGTCTTCAAGGGAATGAGAGAAGTCATAGATTTGCAGGAGGTAGAGAAGCAAGGATGCCCGTCTTCAAAGGAATGAGAGAAATCTGTGCAACTTAGGCAGCCTCCAAAAGAGTAGATGGGACGTCCCAATGTAGAAGCGACATGTGCAGCTGGGGTAGCCGGTCCAGGGGTTTGGGCCCCTTCTTCATATTCGTCCTTGGGGTGATAAAATCCTGTCGGTCAATTGTCGACAAAAATCGCCCTCCAGGACACACAACGAAGTGATATAAGAATTTGAATTGGAGATATCATTACAATTAAAATCTAAAATTATTAGATGATCCCCAAAGGATGAAGAACACGATGAGCTTGAAAGGTTACCAGTAGTTATGCACTCCTCAGAAGTTAGTAAGGTTGTTGATGCGATGAATCTCCATTACGGATACACTCTGGACTCTATCACCGAAATGTTGCAGAAAGATCATGACAAGGGTGTTGATGTATAACCTAGAAGCTCAAAAACTCAAAAATCAAAGCACAAAAGCGGAATGCAAAGGGAGCTTGAGAGTATGTTAAGTCTGTCTATCGACTGCTGCATGAGGAGAATCACAGAGCGATTGATCGTAGTTTAGCAAGAATTTGGAATTTGCAGGTACCGTTGAAGGTTCAGTTATTTTCGTGGGTAGCTCTTCAAAAAAAGTTCTCTGCAGTGGATAACCTTCGTAAGAGAGGTTTCATAATTGTCAATGTTTGTAGCCTATGTTTGAGAGATAATGAAAGTGTCGACCATATTCTTTTACATTGTCCTTTCACTCTAAGCATATGGGATTGGTGTAGAAAGTTGATGAATCTCAATATCTTGATTCCACAAAGCCTAGAGTTAATTCTCTCTCATGGATGAACCCTGGTGTGTCGAAAGTTAGCACTGTGCTATAGAGAGCTTTATGGATGAGCACTAATTGGAAAGAGAGAAATAGAATAACATTTGAAAGGACACAAAGTGAAATTGAAGTTTTGAAGTCTAACAACTTAACAACAACAACTGCATGGTTTTTAACAAATAAGGATTGCAAGTTTATCCCAAAATCACAAATTTTTTCGAATCCATCTGAAGTTGTTAAGCTTAATAATCACATACAGATTCGAAATACTATTTGGATGGCTCTTCAAGAAAATTGCTTAAAACTCAACTTTGATGGAAGCTTGATTGGAAACCCAGGCCCAACAGGTTATGGTGGTACCATTAGAGATCATATGGGTAATTACAAATCCACCTACTCAGGACCATGTGGACATATGTTAGTGAATGAAGCAGAGGCAAGAGCTCTTTTAGAAGGTTTAAAGATAATAAATAACCTCGAGAGCCAAAAGATGATTGAAGGTGATTCAAGCAATGTCATTGCTTCGGCAAAAGAAGAAATAAAGTCACCTTGGATATTATGCAGCATTTTCAATGAAATCTTTTTCATTTTAAGTAGTGGTACGTTTGAGTTATCTCATTGTTTTAGGGCGGCTAATATAAAAGTTGATACTTTAGCAAAAGGTGGTGTGCATCAACATTCATTGGTGGTTACATCCTTTTCATCTTGAACATCCTTGTAATCGTTCAAGGGTGAATGAAATTCATAGTAACTGATTTAAAAAAAAAATCTAAAATTAGCTGAAAGAAACTTGAGACATGAAATTGGGAAAAGGAAACTTCATAAAAAAAAGAAGTAATCTTTATGGGGTTTGATCGCAACATTTTTGAGAATTTCGAATGAGATGTTATTCGTTGGCTGACGGTAGGTGTGCCCTCATTTACATTGGTCTTCAAATTTTTATTTTTTAAATTAAGTCTACCATAATGATATCTCCATTATCTTTAGGTAAAGATGTGATTAAGCGGCACTCTAATGCTTCTTTAGCCTTGACAAAAGAGCGCATATAATATGCTCCCTAGGGAGCAGATTATAAAACTTATTTACTAAGGATTTATTGAATTTAAAATTTCAAGAACTAAGTAAGAGTAACTAGATGGTTAGAGAAAATTTGAATTTTACGTTTTTAAACACTTAGATCTCACCCTCAAAAAATTGGATAGTATCGGTTCAATATCAATTCATTGTTTTTTTAAGTGTATAGAGAGTGTGTTGTGAAAATTTCGTTTTTGAGGTTATTCTATGTGTTGACAATGTTACATTCTTAAGGATTCTAAAACTAAGGTTGATGTTTATCCAAGGAAGTAAATGGATAGAATGCTCCAGCATAAGCATAAAATATTTTGGGCCTGCCTACCAATATTCCCTCGAAGATGCTTTAATTTGAATGACCATCCCAGAAAGTCACATGAAAGCTATAGGGAGAGAGAGAAGGAAGAGATTTATTGTGGGGAGATGACATAAAAAAGAAGAGATTCATCTGATGAGTTTGAAAAAAGTTTGTAGACCAATGAAGGAGGGGAGATTGGATATTAGGAAACTGAAATATATGAACTCAACACTTTTAGTAAAATTGTCGTGGATGATCCGGACACAACCTAAGTATTTATGGGTGTTTGCTGTGAGAGAAAAATATGGAATAGATTTGAAGTTTGGCCTCATTAAAGGTTTAAGAAACAAGACAAGTTTGTCCCATGTTTAGAGAGATATTGATTATGAGAGATCTGTGTATCTACGGCAATTTCGAAAAATAGTAGGGAATGGATAATCCACTCTCTTTTGATTTGACAAATGGATTGGAGATGAATCGTTAAGATACTTTTTCCCCGAGGTTTTCTCAAAAGCTTTAAACCCGCTAACATCTGTCAAGGAGGCTAGTGGGGGTGTTTATACTAAGATTTTTTGTAGGTACAGAAGATGTACAGACAGATTCATTGAGGAGTATCAAACATTATTGGAATTATTGAATTACACATATTTGACTCCAAATATGGATGATAGCTTTATTTGAGATCTTACCCCTTAGGGAGACTTTTCAGTTAAGCCAACCTATAACCTATTATTTTCTGATCGTTAGAGAGAATTAGATGCTAGTTTATTAAAGATTAAAAAACTGCATGTGCTTCTTAAAGTGCAGTTATTCTTATGGATCTTGTGTCTAGATAAATTAGCAACTGTTGACAACTTGAGAAAGAGGGGATTTGTTATCACCAATATATGTATCATGTGCAAAGCCAATGATGAAACTTTGCAACATCTTGTCCTCTCAGGTCTTTTTGTTACTTATCTTTGGGGTTGGGTTCACCAATGCCTCAATCTGTCATTACCTTTGCCCCAAAATGTCAAAGCTCTTCTTGACAAATGAATTACACCTGATATTTCAAAGATTGTAACTATCCTTTGATATCTATTTGCGTTAGCCTTCTTTGGAATGTTTGGAAGAAAAGAAATAGAATAGTATTTGATAGTATAAGTGCAGATCTGTCTACATTAAAATCGAATATTTTGGCAGTTACAGCTGATTGATTGCACATAAGGATTGTGGCTTCATTTCTAAAAGTTTTATCATTAGCAATCCTTCGGCAGTGGTGCCTATGGGTGTTTGGATACAATCATCAGTGAATTCCTTCAAATTTAATTTTGATAGAAGTCCACTTGGTAATTCATGACCAGTCGCCTATGGTGGACTCATCAGAAATAATTTGGGTCTTACTCGGGTCTGTGTGGTATCATAACGGCCAATGAGGCGGAAGCACGAGGTTTATTAGAAGGTTTAAAATTGCTATGCACTTTGGAAGGGGATAGAATTATCGAATGAGACTCGACAAATGTCATTGCCTGGAGTAAGAGAAAGGCCACAATCCCTTGGAGATTAATGACTATTTTTTATCAAATTTGAGACATTTTGTCAACCTCTATGGCAACGGTTCAACATTGTTATAGAGAGGCGAATGAAGATGCCGATATTCTTGTTAAAGGAGGAGTCCATACTCCCTCTCTGTTGGTTACTTCTTTTATGTAATATTGTGTTTTTACATATGAATTAATAATAAGTCGTACGTTACCGTTCAAAGAAGAGAGAGAGAGAGAGAGAGTCTATTGGGAACTGTGATTTGCTCGATTGTTACCTTACAATGGGTGAAAAACAACTAAATTCCATTTTCAACTACTACAAAAGAATTATAGATCCAACATCCATTATCAACTCCATCATTATGGATATGCCTATAATAGGAATTAGATATTGCCGATGAAACCACCCAAAAATGGGTAAAATGGTGACTAGGGTTTTGTCCAAAACCCCCCAATTTCAATCAATAAAGGTTTTTATGCTTCTCCTACAACATAAAAGATATATACTTCCCCCTTCATCCAGCCGTCCAATTTAAATCAAGCGAGCCACTCACCATTTAATCAGATCTAACTCCTATAAGTAGTTTATTTTTAAACTATATGAATATCAAAATTTAGTATGTGTCATCATCTCAATGGGGTAAACTTAAATAAAATATTAAAAAAATATTTTTGAGAAAATAAAATGACCAAAATACCCCTAAAACTTTCTGGGGCATTTTAGCCATTTTATTTTATTGAGAATATTTTTTTATATTTCTTATTAGCACGAGATCAAGAGATAATTGGACACCCAAATTTTGGTGTCAAAACATTTTCTATAAAAAAATAAAAATAAAATAGTACATCTAAACCATCCATTTAAAATGGACGGTTGGATAGGGGAAAGTATCAAGTCCTCTCACAATATATCTCCCGCTACAAATTGACTCATAAAGCCTCCAATTTTCGCAATGACAAGAGCTACCCTTGAACAATGAGAAAACCCGTTGAAGATGACATTGGTTCACCAACCCAATGATGTCAAGCATTTTTTGCATTTACATCAAAAATTAAGAGATAGAGAGAGCACATAAGTTTGACCATCTTGAAAGATAGGGGAGCTAAATCCAGGCTGATCTTGATGAGTTTTATTAAACACTTGGGTAAAACTTACTGAAATTTCGGGTGGGCAAGGTTCACTTCTTACAAAGGTCAATATTCAGACCAAATTTCCTAGAAATTATCCCAGCTCTCATTTTCTAAATGGGAAATTTATGTTAATATCTTTTTTTTGGTAATTAAAAATCGATCCCCCCAGTATGTTGGATTTTATGCTTATATCTTTATTTTTCAAAATTTTAAAAATAAATTTTTTTTTTTAAATCCATATTTTCTCTGCTTTTTTAAACTTTATTTTAACTTTTAAAAGTGTTTTAAGTTCAAACCTACTTTCAATACACATTTTTATTTTTAAATTTCTCAAGTATTTAGAATTATTTTAGGCCCTTTTGGGCCTATGCCACAAAGATTGGTGAGTGTTTTTTAATGATATTTTTTTTTGGTTTAGATTTTTAAAACTATCCCAAACTGTAAATAAGTTTTTTTTTAAAATCTATATTTTCTCTACTTTTTTTAACTTTATTTTAACTTTTTAAAGTGTTTTAAATTCAAATCTACTTTCAATACACATTTTTATTTTTAAAATTTCTTAAGTTTTTAGAATTATTTTAAGGCCCTTTTGGCTCGAAGCCAAACTCAAGTAACTCGCCTTGGCTGAGGGGTGAGTCCTTTGGCTGAGGCGAGACCCGGCTCATTGGTTAAAAAAGATAGCATTTTGGGGAAAAAAATTAAGAATTTGAAAAACAATGCCGATAGCACAAATTACAATATATTAAATTATATTTTTAATTCCACAAAATTTAGAGGTATTAGTGTAAATAACCACAAAAAAATTCAGGGTACCATGACCGAAAACATGCTAAGATTTCAAGTTTCGGCGAAACCGAAACTAACCGAAATTTCGGTAGGGGTAAGGTCCTTCACCTACCGTCCATGCGGGGGTAGTTAGGCGGCCGCGGCGACTTCACCAACCCCGCAAGGCCGCGGCGACTTCACCAACCCCGCAAACGATAAAATTTTTCCAAAAAAAAAAATGTTTTTTTTTTTAAAAAGTTTCCACCTTGTTTTCGCTCGTGTATATATATAGTAACATTCTTTCGAATCTTGCATTTGCTTTTGGATTAAACAGCGGCTTGAGCATCCAGGTAATTTGAATTATGTTTTGCATTTCTTGTGATTTTCGCTCTTATTTTACTTTTTTCTTCTTTTTTTTCTGGATAAATTTCTGAGTAGATGCTGCGATATTCATGGAGATTCTTTAGTTTCTGGGGTCCAGCTCAAGTTCTCCTTTTTCTTTCTATTTATTTTCTGCGTTTTAAGAGCTCTTTAATGGTACGTTTAGTTGTTTCTCTGTGACGATGGAACTGTGTTTGCAGTCTTTTTAACTGTTACTGTTTCTGGTTTCTTGGAGCTTGTTAACGTTGTAATTTGTATACTATTGAATTGCGTTGACAATCTCACATTCATTTGGTATAGTGGGAATTATTTTTTGTTTTACTGCTTATTAATGGAACTCGAGGTTATTTATCTGGAAATGAGGTTGCTGTAACAATTTGGGGCTGGTTTTAGCTAAGGTAATTGTGATACCTGCTTTAAAATGAGATTACTTCGCTATGGTTGAAATTCTGGGGCTTCCTTGGTTGAAATCTGTTTGAAAATCTAGTTCTAATTGAAATTAGGGCTTTTTCTTCTCTATATTGATTTCACTTGGTACTGACATACTTGCTGCAAAATGTTGTATTTGCTTTATTTTAAAATGCATGGCTTAATTTAAGCCATATATGTATGCAATGTGGTCTTCCAGTTCGTAGCTTTCCCTTGTTTTCAGGTAGTTCCAGTTCATAGCTCTAGTGCTCTTAAATGTGTTTTAATATCTGTCTACTGGTCTCTATTGTGTGAAATCCATTAGAGAATGCAACTCTTCATCAATTTTAGGGTTGCTCTCATGTAAATATTGTTTTTTCCATGTCGATGCCAGAAAATAAGAAAATATGTTTTAAACTTAGTTATTTGCAAAGTCTATGTGACGTTGAAATCTGTTTGAAAGGTAAGCTATATGTGAAGGGATTGGTTGGTTAGGGAGACTATCATGTTTGTCTGATTTGATTCTCTTTAAGTTTCGTTATGTACTTCTATTTAGTGCCTTTTCTCTTCTTCACTTTTCTAAAGTGAAATCTGGAGCCTGCTAAATTGTAGGCTACTCCTATTCTAAAAATTATTTTGCAAATCTATTTGATGCATTGGCTAAGAATCTTCTTCAAAACACTTGTAATGAATGGATTGCTCCGCTAACCCTTCAAGAAACTATGTATCTGCTTGATATTGTGTATTCTATGCCATTTGATGGATTTGTAAAGGCTATGTGGTCAAATCCCCTTATAAGTTATAAGTGTATCTTTCATTTCAATTTAGGGGTTATTCGATGTATGTGGCAAGTTTTCTGGCATTATCAGTCCAGTGTTTTTCAAAAATTTAGGAGTCTGTGCTCAACTAAGGGCACTAGATGAAGTTTAAAAGTTAATTAGGTTTTATATGTTAATTTATGTCCTGAAATTTGAACAAATGTTTCCTAATCATTTGGGTTATGCCATTTTTTGGCTTTTAAAGGTGTAGATGTTAAAAGGAGTTGAAGTGTGTTTTAATCGTACTATAGGGCTTAAATGGAGGCTTCTAATGTTTTGAGACGACAAGCATGTGGCCCATGGATGGACTTTGAGAAGAGCAGAGGGAAACATGTTGATTGTCTACAGTTTCCTGAGAGATGGAGAGAGCAGCGAGGATTTCAGAGGTCTACTACTTCAGGGCCTTTTCAGTTGAAAAGTGTCTCAAGAAAATCTAGGCTTGTGGCAAGGGATCTATCTTGCTCATACAAGAACTTTACTGGTATGTATATTCTTCATCGTCACAAAAACATAGAAGGGGTTGAATGTTTCAGTTTCTACAGTGATGGTGCTGTTAGCAATGTCTGACTGCTCGGGCAACTCCACTTTGACTCGCCCGAGTTACTTGGGCTTGATAGGGTGTCAAGCCCAAAACCCCCTAAAATTCAGATGTACATAATTAATTGTATTTCTTTTATAATTGATTTAATATCGATTGGATCAATTATAATTGACTTATATTTATGTTTCTTTATATTTTATAGTTTTACGTTTTTTAATAATCTTTTCTAATTTTTCTCATTTATTGAGAAGTTGATTTTTTAACCATTTTTTTTTTTTTTTTGGAAACTTTTTTACGCATACCTTATTATATGTTTTTCTGTTGTTTATATCATTTTTTTTTCACTTAATCTTTTTGAAAATTTTAGAAATTTTCTTCATTTTTTTGAGGTTTTTTAGGGTGAGTTGCCTCGGACTTGCTCAGGTGACTCGGCCAGGTTAGGGGCTGAGTTCCATGGTCGAGCTGAGTTTGAAAACAATAGTTGTAAGTATTGGATGGAAACATTGGTTTTTAATAGTGGATGTTTTATATTATGTATAGTGATAGATAATTTGAACCTTTGGAATTTCGTATGTCATATCCCTGATATTCCATAGTTGGCATTTTTGTCATGCATTGTCATACAAAATCATGAGATTTATCACGTAGTATTGAATATTGACTTCTTCAGTTGAACTTTGTGATAGTTTCATCGGAATTGGAACTGAAAAACTTAGGTACTGCTGAGAAAGAGGCATTAATAATAAAGGTGTGGTACTTTATTACTTTTTTTCGTTGTTATGTTACATCTTAGTATTTTCAGCAACACAGGGTGCCAATGTTAAGCCTCAATCCCGTTATACTCACTTGGTGATTTTAAATATATTGCAGAAGAAGGCACTAGAGGTTTCTCCACATTTGAAAGGAAGTTGTATTTTCCTTGTCGGTTAGTTTCCCTGCAACCATTTGCTAAGTTGCTCATTTCGTTATGGAAGGGGCAATGAACTGTTATTTTAAGTTCCTATTACTATTATTGTGTGCAGGCCTGATGGGCTCTGGGAAGACCACGGTTGGCAAGATTCTGTCAGAAGCACTGGGTTATTACTTTTTTGACAGGTTTGCTATCAAATTACAAATGATTGTTGTATTATGATGTTTCTTCTTGTATCATAGTTTATTTTTCCTTAATTAGGCTATGAGGTAGCTAAATGCCTCTTGAGTGTGTGCAGTGACAAATTGGTGGAGCAGGCTGTTGGTGGAACTTCTGTGGCTCAGATTTTCAAGGAGCATAGTGAAGATTTTTTCAGAGATAATGAGGTGACTTTGTATTCCATTTTTTATGAATTGGTATTTCTTCTATTTTCATGAAGCTTTTATAGTGTCACATGATATTTCTTTTCTGTTTCAGTCTACTTGTTCTTTATGTGCTTTGACTTATTGTTTACCTATGTGATGAATTATATAGACAGGTACCGGTTTCCTTGTCTTTCATTTTAGGATTCTTTCTGTTTGAACATTTATATGATCGATTCCCAAACTCTCATTATTTTTTGTACGTTAGTGTTGTGCACGTGTTCAATAAAAAAAGAAAAGAAAAATGTGTTTTAGTGTTGGTCAAGCATGCTGCTTTGGATTGGATTCAAACACGTTATTGTTACTGGTTATAGGGGTCAATACTGGGGTTATATTTATTATCGGTCATCATCGAAGTGCGTTCTCACATCTTGGCATATTTCACTTGACAAGGCTCTCTTGCTATGCCACCAGTTGGCTATGGGTGGATGGCAAATTATTTATCACATGTTCCACCTTTATGGGCTCTTCCATTTTTCTCAAAGTGAATAAGTTTTTGATGTTGATGATATGATTTTAGCCTGCAATGATCTTCAAAGATTGCACATGCCAGAGCATTTTTTAGATACAAAAAAAACTCACCCTGGAAGTGGATTTTAGGAGTTGATGTTTCCCATGCCCCATCTGATGTTTTCTCCTTTATTCAGTATGCGAATTTGATATTTTATCTATGTTGTAGGAGTCAACGTTTGGAAACTTTAATCCACTGTTGGCATTACCTTAGGTTTCAGTAATGTCCCACTAGAAGTCTAGAACTCCTTAATTCAGTCCCACCGGCTATTACCTTGTAGCCAGTCATGGTAGTTGGAAGTTACAGTAATTTGCAAGTGTGAAACTTGTGAGGGTGTGATACCTTTGGAAAACCTCTCCACATGACAAACTTTTTCTATTTTTGCTCTGCTCCATTTATGGTTATTCTCCTTAGAAATTGTGCATGGACTCTATCTTTCCATATAAAAAGGAATGTTTATTGGAGTGTGTGGTGGAAGGCATGTTGCTAGGTGTAAATATCCCGGTTTCCTTTCTCCTTTCCTTAGATTTTCTGCTGTTGTAACAAAAGAGAGCATCTGATGACACTTCCTGCTTGCTCTATTAATAGATGCAAGGTTAGTTGGTGACCCTAGGGAAAAACGTTAATGCTTCTAAGCCCATTAGCTATATGAAGAAATGACTAAATAATATAATTCCTTCTCAAAATAGTTTTTATTTCTCGATGTTAAGATCAATTTATATTACATAGCTCATTTATAAGAGTGAGTGAGCAACTACATGAGATAATTGCATTTTGACTTTGAAGTTGAACTTTTATATGCTCTTGCCTCACCTATAATCTATGACTGAAAATATTATCTAAAGATTCTAAACAGCATTTAAAATTGTGCCATATGATTGGCAATTACAGCTTTTATTTTGGGTTGGTAACCTGGTGGAACCTGTGAAGTTAAGTTGTAGTTTGACCTCCATATCCACTGAGCCAAGAGCCAGAATGTTCTTCCTATGGTGACTTTCTACCCAAGCAGTTTTCCATTTCAAAACACTAGCAGTCATTCTTTTCTTTGTTTGGAATATGGAACTATTCCCAGGATTCATCGAAGATTGTTGCCCAAAAACTTTCCTGGCAGTCAAGACTGAATGTAGATACTCCCTTGCTGGAGCCAATCTTAAGCTCAGTTCTGTCGTCTTTATCATATGAGGGTATTCCATATAACTTCTTAAATGGCCAGAATGGACGATCTAATCCTCATTCGTGCTCTTGAACTCGTTCAAGAATTAAATATATCTTGAATTACTTCACTATATGTCAAGATTATTTTTTTACTGAGATCATTGATTTAAAGATTCGGTCATTTACTTTTCAGAGTGAGGCTTTAAGGGAGTTGTCTCTGATGCACCAGTTGGTTGTTGCAACCGGAGGTGGAGCAGTCATTCGGCCCGTTAACTGGTGAGGCAATGATTGTATGTTAATAACTGAACCCATTTTGTCATTGTAAGCTTGATAATTTCACTAATATATGTTATCATTTTCTTTTCGCTGAATTTACAGGAAATACATGAAACAGGGGATAACTGTGTGGTTGGATGTGCCCCTTGAAGCTCTGGCTAAACGAATTGCAGCAGTAGGAACAGATTCTCGTCCGCTTTTGCATGAAGAAGATGGCGATGCATATACAAAGGTAGCAAAAAATTTTAAGCTCACTATCGTTTATCCAAAAAAAAGAAAAAAAAAACCAGAAAAACAGAAATGATTGCTCAATTGAACATGCTGAATGCACCCGATATGTATTTTGCTGGATGGTTTCTATGGTTGAGTGGTTCAGTTTTCTCATAGCATACTCTCTCTCTCTCTCTCTCTCTCTCTCTCTCTCTCTCTCTCTCTCTCTCTCTCTCTCTCTACTCTACGTAGTACGTAGTAAGTAGTAGTAGTAGTAGTAGTGTACGTATCGTAGTACGTACGTTACGTACGTTACGTTACGTCGTACGTACGTTACG